TCAAAAACATTGGTACCGGTGCCTATGGTGTTGTATGCAAAGCTACTCATCAGGTTAATATCTGTGCATTTCTGCATAAAAAACGCGACTTTGTGAAGTGTATTATGTGCGCGCTCAATTATTGCAGCTGCGGAATTACGATAATTAGAAAATATGATCTGTAGTATAATTTCCTGCATAGAATTCAATTACCACAGTTTATGTAATATGCGTATACTTGAAACATGAAATTTTTAAGTTTAACTGTACAATGGAGGAGTTATTTATTCAAAATTAGACGGATATGAAAAATATAATTATAACACTGGAAGATTTTTATATAACTGTATGCAAGAAAATGTTATAAAAATTACAAAAGTTACGTAAAATTTATACACACCGCATTGTAGAAAAGAATCGTAACATTTACCCTTGCGTGGGTATGAGACTATGAGTTATAGCCGAAGATCTATGAATTAAAGACTAGGAGCTTTTTTTGTAACTTTGATTTCAGGATCTAATTCAGCCTGGCATACTTATGCTGCAGAGACAGTTGCAAATCCGGAATTTCTGGTTTTAAATTAAGTAGATGTTTTGCTTGAATAACACCGAACTAGCTTTTAAAAACAATCACATTCTGACATATAATTTTACATTCAAACATTCTTTGATATTATAGTTCTTAATAATTCTGACAAGCACGAACTAAGAGGTCAAAGTTTCTTTCACCAAACAGAGTACGACAAAGAGGGAAGATAGGGGACGTTGGTTCATATTTAGAAAATAAAAAGCTGCACTTTTATAGTTCTGAGTTTGCAACGGTACTGTGCACCCCCTTAATTATAACGATAAGCTCTATTCTGAAAATCCCAGAAACTGCTGGGACTGATCGTTCTCCACTATGCAGCTGGCAACATTCCACTGAACATGTAAAATTCCAGCAAACCGGGACAGAAGTAGCAATTAAAAAAATAACTCGTGCGTTTTCGGTTGCAACTTTACTGAAACGGTCGCTACGTGAGGTGCGAATTCTACGTGGATTAAGGCATGAAAACATCATATCTGTGCATGACGTATTTGCTACTCAGGGTCCCCACGTAAGCGTTTCAACTTTTCAATGACTTGTTGCGTTTTTTTCGTTCTTTCCTTAGACTTGCCATTTTTTCACTTCTCTTTTAATCGTTGTCTTTCATGCACGATCAATATTTTCAGTAACGTACACAGTTTCTAATGAATGATAGAAGTAATGAAAATAATAAAACTAATAGCAATAACAATAGTAATAATGATACAAATAATAATAATGGCAATGCAGAAAATAATAAAAATAAGTGCTGATAAAGAAGCCCCTGATTTTCGTTATTCCATAAGCCAAAAGAGGCTCTGGCAAAGAAAAAAGAGAA